GGCTGCAAGCAAGCAGAAGAAGTGGGTTGGCGGCCATGTGGGCTCATGCTGCACATGGTTGCTAGTGCTGCCGCTGCAGGGCAGGTGTCAGGGTGTGGATGGCCTGGCTGCGGGAGCCCTGACACTTGCCTTGCGTGGGGAAGCTCCACCACCACCCTGTCTTGCCTCGTGGCCACAGCACCATGAGCAACCAGACGGAATGGGCCGCCAGCTGCACAGGCTCTTAAGGCTTATTTGGAGGGTAGGGCTTATATTAGGCACATACGTAAAAACATGCCATGGCTTATTTTCAAGATAGGTCTTATTTTTAGGGAAACAGGGTATTTGGTTCATATCTGAGAGGATGCTAGAGAGCTATGGGTGCCTGTAGTAGTCAAAATTCCATTGTAACATCTTTTTTCCCTATATTGCCCTCATATGGACATATTTAACCTGTACTAGCCTTAAAGTATTTTCTCCTGATTCCAACATTAATCCATGCATAAAATCTGCCAGACTTTGTTAATTCAGAGGGAAGCCTGATGATTGCAATGATATGAAATTAAAGCAATAGAAGCAGGATAGAGAATTGGCCATATGTCCCTGCTGCTCATTTCAGTGAAATTGATATAGCTTTTATCTGAATAAGAACTGCCACTCTATCCCACTCCTGCAAAATGAGGAGAAAAAAAAGAGCAACCCAGTCTGTGGCTTGCCTGCATTAAAAGAATAACTACATTCGAGACACATTCTTCACATTCCCAATAGTTCAATTGTGATGCTTGATCCATATTTGTTTATGCCTGCGGGTACCCAGAGAACAATCTATTTTGATTTTTAGGTTTGTCAGAACTGGCAAAGGGGAAATGGCTAAAAGAAGAAGAGTAAATGACGGGATTAATTTCTCTGAAACACAACACTTTAAGTATTATATTGTACTATTTAGTCTGAAATGATATTATACTTTCAGTGTTTATTCTAAAGAAGTGGATATAAACAGTTTGCATTTGGTAATATGTTCCTAAGTATTTTAGCAGCATTCTAAAGTTTCAGATGCTGCGATGCATTTTTTAAAAAAAAAACATATATCTAGTTTATAACCTGAAGTATATGATACTTGTCAGGCTTCAGATCAGGGGTGGGTTCTACTTACCTCCGCTACCGGTTCGCAACGGGAGCATGTGCTTCTGTGCATGCACAGATTGTTCATGATGATGTCTGGCAGGTGGGCGGAGCCTCCCGCCGCTGTTATTACTGGTTCTCCCCAACTGGGAGCAACCCACCACTGCTTCAGATCCAGACTTAGTGAGAAATCACAGCTCTCCGATACTGAACCCTTAATTCAGTTCTCAACTAGGCTTGGAAAAAGACTTCTGGACATGACTTGGCTAGATTAGAATCTTTATTGCAGACAAGAAGGAAGCCTAGAGAAGAACAGTTGATTCCCCACTTCAGGACAAAGATCTCAGCAATGTATATCTCTGTCCTAGAGTTTAAACACCAAGCTTTTACATCTTGCCCTTCTGAATTAACGCATACTTAGAAGGTTACTTGATGGTCTTGGAAGGCAGCAGCTACAATGTTTATCTAATGGCTATGCTTGCAACTGCAACTATCTATTTTTAACTATTAAAAATGAAAGTAGAATCCAAAGAAAGAACCAGACCCCCCAGGTGATGGTTTACGATCAGTCAATCAATCAATCAATCAATCAAAACACTTAAGCAATCATATTTATAATTGATACAATATTAATCAGTTATAGACAATCTATTGATTCTTTCTCTACTTAGGATTGCAATGAGCTTCCATTTTATGCCTATTTTACAGCATGGATCAAGGAAGTATAATATTAGGTTAGACCAAAGAAACCTAATTCATTACCTACAAATGTAGGTAATCTCTTGCTTCTGAATATTTTGGATCAATGCCCATCAGCTCCAATAGCAAGAGATTGTGGAAATAAAATTTTACAGCATTGGGAAGACATCAGATTCAGCAGACTTCCAATAGTTCTCCTTGTTCCACAAAGGAGCTATTTCCTAATTCACAGAATCATTTTGCTTCATAGCCATCATGTTTCTTTTTAAAAGTTATCCTAGTTACTGATGCCACTATTGTGGCTTTTCATCAAATCACTTTCCCAGATTCTTTGGATAGGAAAGAATAGAATAACTATTGAGGGAAGAGAAAGATACTGCCAAAAGTTTTGGTAATGGAAGTAGCATTAAATAAATTGTAGCTATTATTAACTGTTAATCAAATATAAAAATCCCCTACTTGCAAATGTTAGCAAGCTGCTTCTTGTTTAAACCTACTTTTCTATTAAGGACTGTTTTGCCTAAAACAATAGACATCAAATTTCTCAGTCCTTAAGATACAGATATTTGTAGTTGTCTCTACAAGAAAAAATTATTATTCAAATAGAAAATAATACATACAGGCAGTTGAATTGAACCCAACATTTCTGTAGTTAAGTGAGACATTTGCTAAGTGAGTTTTGCTCCATTTTATGACCTTTCTGGTTACATTTGTTAAGTGAATCACTTCAGTTGTTAGTAATATGATTGTTAAATTAATCTGGCTTCCCCATTGATTTTGCTTATCAAGAGGTTGTAAAAGATGATCACATGATCTTGGGACAAGGCAATGGTCATAAGCATAAACCAGTTGCCAAGCATCTGAATTCTGATCACATGATCATTGGGATGCTGCAAAGATCGTAAGTATGAAAAATGGTCATAAGTCACCTTTTTCAATGCCGTTGTAATTTGAACAGTTACTAAATGAACTGTTGTCAGTTGAGGATTACTTGTATTTGTTTGTTCCATGATGGCACAGTGGTTAGAATGCAGTACTACAGGCTCCTTCTGCTGACTGCCAGCTGTCAGCAGTTCAGCAGTTTGATTCTTATTGGCTCAAAGTTGACTCAGCCTTCCATTCTTCTGAGTGTTATGTATTGATACTTTTAAGCGGGAGTTTCAAACCTGCCCATGTTTCTGATTGGCTGACAGTCCCTCCAGGATTGTATATAAGGAGGGCTGCAGCCTCTGAGTTTTTGCTGAAGTCTCACTGTAAATTAAAGAGCTGTTGTCACTTGCTTGGTTGTGCCTCTCGTTATTCCCAAACCACTTCATTGGCGACGAAGGTGGGATAGAGGTCACAAGAAGCGAACCAGTGAGACCACAAGCTTCAGCTAGGCGACGAGGCGAACTACAGGAGGCATACCGAACATGTCTGCCTACGTTCCGCCCAAGCCTTTTGATCCGACCCGCGAAAAATGGGTCTTGTACCTGACGAGGTTCGAATGCTCGCTCGAAGCCAGCGACATGCAAGGGCTCTCCGCTAATCGGAAGAGGGCCCTCTTCCTAAGCCACTGTGGACTGGACGTGTTCGAGATGGCAGAGTCACTGTGCGAGCCAACGCCGGTCCAGACCGTTTCCTGGGACACCCTGATGGCCACGCTCCGGGCTCATTATGCTCCCGTGCCCTCCAAGTTCGTGCAACGATACCAACTCAGACAGCGCGTTCAGCGAGAGGGAGAACCGGTCAGCGCATACATGGCCAGCCTGAGAAAAGCTGCAACCCATTGCGACTATAGAGACTTGGACGATGCGTTGCTTGAGCAACTCATCTGTGGTGTCCGGGACATTAGGCTGCAACGGCGCCTGCTCGCCAGGCCTGATTTGATGCTTGCTGGAGCCCTAGACGAGGCCAGGGCTCATGAAGCCTCCACAAAAGCCGCAGAAACGCTGCAGCGTCCGCTGACCAGCAAAGACAACCCCAAGTCTGCCCCGGTGCACAGAGAAGACGCCGGATCCAGCTCGGAGTCCGAGTCGGATGAAGACGTCTTCTGAATGGAGCACCAGAGAAAGGACACAGGCAGCCCACGGCGAAGCTGTCCCAGCTGTGGAGGGCACCATGATAGACTGTCCTGCAAATACAGGGAGGCTATCTGCAGGCGTTGCGAGAAAAAAGGGCACTTGGCGCGAGTCTGTAGAGCCATTCTGCCCAGAAAACACCAACCAAGTGAGTGCCGCAGCCAACCAGAATCAACGCGCCAGAAACAACCAACGAGAGAAGGCGGCGCGAAAAAACGGCGCGAATTTGAACCTCGAGATGGCCGCAGCATTCACATAAACCAGGCCAGCGCGGAAATCGAGGACAAAGTCAGCATGGTGGTCGAAATCAACGGCAAGCCATGCTCGATGGAGATCGACACCGGATCAGCTCTCTCCATAATGTCATGGGCGACCCTAAAGACCCTCCTGCTGTCGTTCGGGAAGGACCAGCTCTCCAAACAGTGACTGCGCATCCTAGACTACCAGGGGAACCGAGTCCCCCTCGAGGGCGTGGGCACGTTCCGAGTCACCTACGGAGACTACGAAAGAGACCTGCCACTGACCATCGTCACGAAGCAGCTTCCCAGCCTTCTCGGCATGGGGTGGTTCCGAGCCCTCGGCATGGGCTTCACCGGCGTCCACCAGATGCTCAAGTCATCGTTAAAAGACAGTCTCCTGACCGAGTTCCAGGACGTTTTTGGGGACACGTTGGGCAAGTATGTGGGGACCCCTATCTCTCTTAATCTAGACCCCAACGTAGCCCAAATAAGACTCAAGGCGAGACGGGTGCCCTTTGCATTGAAACCAAAGATCGATGCGGAACTGGACAAATTAATTAAACAAGGGATCTTGGTTCCCGTTGACCACGCAAAATGGGAAACCCCCATAGTGACCCCAGTCAAGTCAGACGGCTCAATTAGAATTTGCGCCGACTACAAGTGCACGATCAACAAGGCTTTGCAGCCGAGCGCCTATCCGGTGCCGATCGTGCATCATCTACTACACTCCCTGGGGCCAGGAAAAATTTTTGCCAAACTAGACCTGGCCCAGGCCTATCAACAACTTCCTGTCGACGATGCCACGGCTGAGGCACAGACAATAGTGACCCATAGGGGTGCATTTAAATACACCAGGCTCCAGTTCGGGGTGAGCGTAGCACCCGGCCTATTTCAAAGCACCATGGAGTGCCTGTTGCAAGGACTTCCCGGGGTGGTGCCATATTTCGATGACGTCCTAGTCAGCGCTCAGGACGAACAACAACTAGGGGACAGAGTTAGGAACGTCCTGTTCAGATTCAGGGAAGCGGGACTCAAATTAAAAAAAAACAAGTGTATGATAGCAGTCCCCTCAGTTGAATTTTTGGGGTACAGGGTGGATGGCACAGGCATCCACCCTACCGAAAGCAAGGTGAGAGCTATTAAGAGCGCACCTGCCCCCAAGACCAAAGCTGAGCTCCAAGCCTTCCTTGGACTGCTCAATTTTTACTCAATGTTCCTGAAAGACAAGGCTACCGTCGCAGATCCCCTACACAAACTATTGGGGAAGAATGTACCATGGGTCTGGGGGAAACCACAAGCAGCCGCATTTGAGGCTGTAAAGAGACTTCTATCGGAAGACAGTTTCCTAATCCAATACAACGCGGCGCTACCGCTTGTATTGGTTTGTGATGCCTCCCCCGTAGGAGTTGGTGCCGTCCTAGGCCATAGACTGCCGAACGGCCTAGAGGCGCCCATTGCGTTTTACTCTCGCACTCTGTCAAGCGCAAAGCGGAACTATAGTCAATTGGACAGAGAGGCTCTGGCTGCAATTGCGGGGGTTAAAAAGTTCCACGAATACCTTTATGGCCGGCAATTCGAACTTGTGACTGATCACCGGCCCTTGCTAGGACTTTTGGCAGGCGACAGGCCCACCCCCGCTGCTCTTTCCCCATGTTTGACTAGATGGGCTATTTTTCTTTCGGCCTATTCATATCAGCTTGTACATCGACCCGGACGGACCCTGGGTCACGCGGATGCCCTCAGCCGCTGCCCCCTACCTGACTTACTGACCAACCCAACACCAGAGGCCTCCGTCCTTCTACTGGACACATTAACTTTGGGACCTATTTCCTCTGCCGAAGTGGCAAAAGCCTCAGCCAGGGACCCGATCATTCGCACTGTGATGGGGTGGGTGCTGAAAGGGTGGCTGGTCAAGGTGGACGGGGGGGACTACCAAGGTTTTGTAAACAAACGAAATGAACTGTTTACGCAAGGTGGTTGTTTGTTGTGGGGTGACAGGGTGGTAGTGCCAACGAAACTACGAACGAGGGTCTTAGAATTGCTGCACGACGGGCATCCGGGCATTGTCAGAATGAAAAGTTTAGCCCGGAGTTACGTATGGTGGCCCAACATGGACCAAGTTATCTCTGAGTGGGTGGGGAAGTGCAGACCCTGCCAGGAGTCTCGCCCCGATCCCCCGGTAGCGCCCATCCGAGAGTGGGAGAAACCAAAAGGGCCATGGGGGAGGATCCATATTGATTTCGCTGGCCCCTTCCATGGGCAAACATTTTTAATTGTAGTTGATGCCTTTTCGAAATGGCTCGAAATAATTCTAATACCCTCTACCACAGCCGAGGCAGTCATTAAAGCCCTTCGCAAGCTATTTGCCACACATGGCCTACCGGATACTCTAGTATCTGACAATGGCCCTCAATTCACAGCAACCCTGTTCGAGGGTTACTTGGCCGGCCTGGGCATCCGCCATGCCCTATCGGCCCCGTTCCACCCGGCTTCTAACGGATTGGCCGAACGTTTTGTAAGAACGGCCAAAGAGGCCCTATCCAGACTAGATAACGGGGACTGGCAGGCCAGGATAGACCAATTCTTAGCTGTCCAGCATGCCACACCATGCACAGCCACAGGGAGAAGCCCAGCAGAGCTCCTCATGGGCAGGAAGCTTCGGTGCATGTTAGATAGGCTTCATCCTAACTACTCGCACGAAAATTTCAAGGGAGAGACCTCTGGACTAAGACAGTTTCAGGTTGGGTCCCCGGTGTTTGCTCGCAACTATGCCAGCGGACCTCTATGGGTTGCAGGAACCATAGTGCGCATAACGGGCCCGAAATCTTATACGGTAGACGTAGGGGTAGACAGACTCTGGAAGCGCCACATAGACCAGCTGAGAAAAAGGGTAGTCGGCGAAGCAAACATAAATTTAGACATATCCGAGCCTAACTATAACAACTTTCCCAAAACAGCTAACTCAAGCCCGGGTTCGCGAGAATACTTAGCTGACAAGCCCTGGTTCCAGCGCTGCCCCAGCGAGTCGCCACTCCCAACCGGGGATAACCACGCCCCGGACAAAATCCAGGAGGTTCCATTGGCAGAGCCGGGAGAGACAGAAAGTCCCTCCGACCAGCTCGACGCCCCACCAAACACTGAACTGCGCAGGTCAACTAGGACGAGAACTCGGCCTGGGCACCTGCGAGATTTTGTGTGTACTTATGTAAATATTTGAATGTTAGTGCCTTCTGGGAAGGGAGGAGTGTTATGTATTGATACTTTTAAGCGGGAGTTTCAAACCTGCCCATGTTTCTGATTGGCTGACAGTCCCTCCAGGATTGTATATAAGGAGGGCTGCAGCCTCTGAGTTTTTGCTGAAGTCTCACTGTAAATTAAAGAGCTGTTGTCACTTGCTTGGTTGTGCCTCTCGTTATTCCCAAACCACTTCACTGAGGTTAGTAAAATGAGAACCCAGATTGTTGGGGGCACTATGTTTACTCTGTAAACTGCTTACAGAGGGCTGTAAAGCACTGAAGTGGTATATAAATCTAAGTGCTATTGCTATTGCTATATGTTTCTTTAGGAACAAATTCATTTTGGTAGCACCCAAATTGATGTTATAGTGTGCATCTAACTTAAGGAGAGGATAAATGAAAACAAATGGATAATATTGCTACTTGTTTGAAGGAAGCTGTATGATACAATACAATACAGGATTGATTATCATTTTTCTTCTTTTCCTCTTCTAATTCTTTTTTATGATGATTAATTATGAAAGATTAAACAGATTCATTGTATGTCAAGGAACAGCATATACATTAACATCCCACTGCGCTCTACAACTGTTGAATCAAAAAATTAATTCAGTCTCTTCTCAAAATGCTTGTTTTCCTGAATTCTTTTCCTTTTCCTTTGCTAACCTTCCATGAGATTTATGATTGCACACAATAAAAAAATCTGTCTTTTCACATGCTAGTATATATTTATCTTGATTATAATACATAGTTGAGAGTTTTGATGATATATGCACCAAATGTTGTAGAAAAGTTGCCACTTTAATTGTTGTTTCTAATTAGAGCATTAACTTTTTATTTATTTCTTCATAATTTTGCTGGGCAGTTTTGAGAATCATAACGAAGCAAGATTGGAACTGAAAACATCTGTAGCTCTTCAGATAGCTCTACAATATAGGAAATAGATGATGGATAAAGTTAAAAACTTTATCTGACATTAGTCTGCTAAGTGGCGCAGCAGACTAATGCTACTGTTGAAGGTAGTATTTAGCTTCCAGCTGCCTGCAATTACTGCGAGTTCAATTCTCACCAGACTCAAGGTTGACTCAGCCTTCCATCCTTTCTAAGGTAAGTAAAATGAGGACCCGGTTTGTGGGGGCAATAAGCTGACTTTGTATAAAATATATAAAAGTATGAAGGCTATTGCTTAACGCATTGTAAGCCGCCCTGAGTCTCCAGAGAAGGCGGCATATAAATAAACAAAAAACAAGAAACAGAACAAATAGTTTATATTGCCTTGCCCTAAGAACCTGAGGAGCTGTCTCATCCCAATGGGACTAGCCTACATCACTCATGCCAGCAGAAGAAGCCAGCTAAGAACACCATCTGTTAAGGAATTCTGGTAGGTGGGGTGAAGAAGAACCTTTTCCATTGTGGCCTCATCCCTGTGGAACACTCTACCACTGGAGATGATAAAAGCTCCCATTTTTTTTGCTCTCTGGAAGGTATTAAAACCTGGTTTTACCAGTTGGCTTGGGGCCCCAAGGGAGGCACTCACCACTGATGTGGCTGAGAGGATAAGAAAATCTCATCCCCGTTCCATCTGTTTCTTAGACCTTTTTTTAAAAATAGTTTTAAATTTTTAATCTGCATAGTTTTAATATGTCAGGATATGTAGATTTAATAGCTGTAAACTGATGGAAGGTTGTAAGCGGAGGGAACTGAAAGCTGATGCAATGGGAATGAGACAGCAGGGTTGCTGCCACTTTAAGAAGCTAGGTAAAAAGCTGTCTATATAAGGGAAGCCATTAGAGGACATCTCCCTTCTCCTCATGTTCTCTCTTGTTGTGTATCTCATTGCTCTCCTTGTGTCAGTAGCTGTATGATAAGGTATTTAACCATATATAAGTCTGTAAATATTTAGCTGAATATAAACCACTGTTATTTATCTAAAGGCTCTGTGTGATGTGTGATGCTCCTGGGTTTTGCTCCTGGGTTTATCTCATAATACTAGTCACTCTGCCTAAACTCTGACATAATATAATTACTTTTCTATTTATCTTTTTATAATCTGTAAACCGCCCAGAGTCACTTTAAATACAAGATGGGTGATATAAAAATTTAATAGATAAATAATAAATTAAGCTAAATTGTGACAGACATTCCCACAGGAGATTGGTACATTAGCCAAGTCTTTTTTTTTGTTTGCAAAAGGTTTTTTTTATTTTTTTCCAAACATACAAATTACATCCTTTCAGAACTGAGCTTTGATCCGGTCATACTTTGTTCAATTTTTAACAAAATCTTTAATAAAATGTTATCTATACTATTTTGCCATAGCACTTATTTCTAAATCTTAGATCACATATACAACTAATACCATCTTAAAAAAAATTAACACATATTTCCTTAATCAAAACAATTACCCTTCTATTAACCCACCTTAATTTGTAACTCAATTAATAACTCATAATACAACAATTCTTACCCTAAATCCTCACTATTAACAATACAATTCAAACATATTTATACATCATTATGCTCATTAAATCTTTATTCCATTATTACTTTATCAAATTTAAATCTTATCTTTTTAATTTTAGAAATATAGCAATTTAACATTTAAACATAGTTCTTAGTTCAAATAATGCTTTTTAACACAATTTCCCAATTATCCTAAATTCTATCTATCAAACCATACCATTTATATAACACCAATTAAGTAATTTTTGTTTATAAATCATAATCATATATTGTTTCAGTTTTCTTTTTCACTTAGGTAATAAATGTTCAAATTATTTACAATTGTTATACATATTTAAACAATATCCCAATTATTATAGCTATCAATTTTCTAATTTAACTTTTTCTTTTATCCTTCCACTGTTAATCCCAATGTACAAAATACATCTTTATTCCACTGTTAATTCCAGCGTAATCATCTTTATTTTTCTCACTGCTAATCTCAGTGTAATCATCTTTATTCACTGTTCATCCCAATGTAATCATCTTTATTTTTCTCACTGTTAATCCCAGTGTAATCATCTTTATTCATTGTTAATCCCAGTGTAATCATCTTTATTTTTCTGTTAATCCCAGTGCAATCATCTTTGTTCACTGTTAATCGCAGTGTAATCATCTTTATTCCACTGTTAATCCCAGTGTAATCATTTTTATTTTTCTCACTGTTAATCTCAGTGTAATCATTTTATTTACTGTTAATCCCAGTATAATTATCTTTATTTTTCTCACTGTTAAACATCTTTTACTTTTGTAGTTATATTATTAAAAATATTCAAATTATAACAATTGTTATAGGTATTTAAACCATATCCCAGTTATTATAACCATCAATTTCCTCAAATAGTATCTTTTAACATCTTAATAAAAAAATAGTTCATTATATCCATTGCTATATTTCTTTTAATGTAATCTATTTTCCAAATATTTTAGCTTCAATCCCTATTTCATTTCTAAATATCTGTAACATAACTCTTCTCATATTTATTTATCTCAATATAGTCATTTTATAAATCCAGGTCCTGGACTTCTTTAAATTTCTTAATATTTTCCAACTTTTTATTCTTTTATCATTCAGTATTAATCTCCATATAATCATCATTATATCATTATTAATCTCATTATAATCATCATTGTGTTATTGTTAATCTCAATATAATCTCTAGAGACCTCCTTTTTATTATTAATATTCACATGTTCAATTATTTGTTCATATTTAATCACAATATCTTTATCTTTTTTATTTTCCACTTCTATGTCTTATTTCTCCATCTTCATTTTCTTGTCCACACATATGTACTCCATTTCGATTTTTATATCTTCAAATTTTGTCCTCTGTGCAACTATAATATAGTTATTATAGCTACATGAGGCTCCCCTTGAGGAGCACCTGGAGGCTCCAATTGGTCCAGAATGTGGCTGCGTGGGTGGTGATGGGGGCGACTCGGCACTCCCATGTAACACCTCTCCTGCGCGAGCTGCACTGGCTCCCAGTGGTCTTCCAGGTGCGCTTCAAGGTAGAGTGCTCAATGGCTTAGGACCTGGGTATTTACGAGACCGCCTTCTGCCACCAGTAGCCTCCCACCGACCAGTACGCTCCCACAGAGAGGGGCTCCTCAGGGTGCTGTTGGCCAAACAATGCCGGCTGGCAGCCCCCAGGGGGAGAGCGTTCTCTGTGGGGGCACCTACCCTCTGGAACGAGTTGCTCCCAGAGATACAGCGGATCATGGATCTGCGCACTTTCCGCCGTGCCTTAAAGACGTTTTTGTTTCATCAAGCCGGGCTGACCTGACCAAACTTTTTAAATTGCTTTAATTTTAAATTGTTAAATTATGGGTTTTAATATGGGGGTGTCTTAACTGTGGGCCAAATTAATTTAATTGGATTTTAATATTGTTTTAATTTTTGTATTCTCTGTATTTTATCTGCTGGCTGTTCACCGCCCCGAGTCCTTCGGGAGAAGGGCGGTATACAAATATAATAAACATAAACATTTCTTTTATTTCCATTCTCCA